GGTGGTGGGCAGCTGCCAGCGTCAGCAATATGTTCCTGTCCTCAATACGAACGGTCAGGACCTACCGGGCAGTACGTCTCATAGGCGGTCGTGACGACAGTCGTGTATGCGATGCCCTCTGCGCCGTAGGCAGCAGCGCTGGCCAGGGAAAAGAGCCCAGCAACGGGGGCGAGGACCTGAGTGAATCTCATCTTCGATATAGCGAGTGAATGATATCAGCGAAAGTAGATTGCCAAAGGCTTGCGAGAAAGCAACAGCAGAGCAGAGGATATAGACGAGCTTGCGAGTGTCGAGAGCAATTCTGAGCGAGGCTTGCATTCAAACCATTTGACCAAGATCGTGGGCATGGCGGCGACTTTATCCTCGTGGCGCCCATCTCAGCTCAACGGCCGTGCCTCTTCGAGTCGGCCGGAAGCGTCAATAGTCAAGGACGCTACCCAACCAGCGTCGTATCGGTACATTGGAGAAGTGCTCCTGAACTCAAATCGATGCCGCATTTGTGCTCGATAAGGACCTCCTGCTGGCCCGCCCACCCACAGCACGTCCCTCTGGCTGTGATGAGGCTGACCAACTGGGCACAACGACCAGGCCCATCACCTCGGGTGGGTAAGTGATACGAGATGTAGCCCTGTCAGCAACGCGCGATGTGCGGTGTGAAGCGGCAGGTTAGGCCGAACTGATAAACACCCCAGTGCTGATGTCGCGAACTAGAAGCGCCCTCATTGGCTGGTAGGCCTTTATCGATTCCCTTTTGGAAAGTGACGAACCATGCATCAGGCAACGAGGAGCTGATCGGACGGCAGCTCATTCGTGGCTACTCTCGCTGCCACGGAAACGGCCATGATGAGGCCATACAGGCCCTGCTTGGTGCATGGAAGCTCGGCTGCCCGAATCAACATGGGCGCTGTCAGGCTCCCCAGCTCTCAGGCCGCAAGGCTCGACACCAATCTGCCATCTTCAATAAGTCGAAGCTACAGACTTGACAGTCTCATAAGGCAGCTGGAGTCACCCGTTGCTTACATTCCATCAGAGTCATAACCCGTGGAAGCGGAGCTCTATCCGATCAAGCCGTTCCCAGTCGATGGAGAGAGGCAGACATGTTACGTCAGACGAACAGCTGAGGCTCAGAATTTTCGGCGCTTCGAGAACCGAATCCAGGCACAGCCAGAAGCATCGTCCGATGCGGTGAGGTGGAGCGAGCCAAAGTCGTGAAAATTCTGGAGGTGGAGTTGCGAGAGAATTCCGCAGAGGGAGAGAGACGTGAGGGGGGATCTCGAGCAACCCTGGTCACCCCGCAGTGACGCAGTGGCAGAACTTGACCACACCCGATTGCCGACTTGAATCGATCAAACCGACTCGCTTCTGCGGTGGGAATTCCTGGCTGATCTCGATATTCTCGCAGGAACCCGAACGTGCCGCAACAGCCCCAAGCCACCAGTCACTTGAAACCCGCCCTACGGAACTCGTCGTACGGGGAGACACACGGGGAAGATGTTGAGTCAAATGCTCTCAGGTGTCGCAGAACTCAGGCACTTAGGTGATTGACCGTCGCAGAGGGCGGATGAGGCGCGCACCACCCTCGACCAACCTCTGGCAGAAGCCCACTTTGTCATGTCACTGGGCAAAGACGACAAAGACGAGACGGGAAGAAAGAAGTCCCTCACCCTTGGGCTTGGTGTGTGGTGGAGGCGTGAAAGAAAAACCTCGCGCGCGTGGGTCATAGGCTGCCGTCACAGACGCGGGACCAAGTGGAAGAATGACCACTTTGCCAGTCGGAGCTGGTGTTGCTCCCCACCCGTCCCCCCGGGAGTGAAGCCCTCCAGGACCAATGAAAATCGAGCAGCTTCAACAACGTGAGAGAAAGTCAAGTGAAGAGGCTATGGAGACGCCTGGTGGCAGCATGGCTGAGCAGGTTTGCACGTGGAAGGGCCTTCGGAAGCGAGGGAGGAAGAAAGGCGTTATTTCTGGGCTCGGGCAGGTGCTGGCGCTGGGCCCAGCTGGTCCTGGCGACGGCGAAACGGAGCGGAGAGAAAACGAGGGCGCCGTCGAGCGGAGTACAAAGATGGCCGAGGAGAAGCCTTCGCACCCTAACGTCGTAGATGGTGCCGACGGCCAGTCCAGAAGCGGCTGGTAGTGGATCTCGGTGATCCTTGGATGGGGCCTCTTGCAAAGCGGCAAGACGGTGACGGTGACGGGGGCGGAGCTGCATGGCGAGCCGCGGGCTGGGCGAACAGAGCCGGTGCAGAGTGGATGGTGTTTCTGCGCGGTATACGGTGCGGCACCGTGTCAGACCTCGCGGCCAAAGCCCCGCTCGCACCGCATCCTACCGCACCGCTCGACAACGTCCGACGTGGTTGCAAGGCCAACGAGAAGGGAACAGGAGGGGGGAAAGGCTGGTAGGATGTCATGGACCACCGCTTGAATTGGCGATCGGCAGGATGATCGAAGCTGCAAGGCAAGGGGCTGGAAGCATCTCTGTAGGATATGATCAGATACAGATCATCATGGAAGAGGCCGAGTATCGAGCGGAGTCGCTAGCAGTCATGGCGAGTGTCGATGAAAAGGTCTAGAAGCCTCGAGGATGACGGCTTGTGGCAATGATGGGCGAAAAGACGTGCAGGAGAGACGCCAATGATGACTCTCGTGGAGATGCAGGTACCAGAACAGAGAGCTGTTCGCTACCTGCCTTGCTTGTCCAGGTACGTCTCTCTCGTTCTTTCCAAGGAACGAGCCGGACCTTCACCACGTCAGTAGCTGCATCTAGTGCCTGTCTCTGGTGCCTGCCTCAGGTACCGGCCGCTGGTTCCTTTCGCGCAACTGGAACCTGCCTGGCGAAAAGACCTGGCGTCGGACGCTAACTAAGGCGTGACTCAGTACTTGGGGATACCTGAGACAGGGCACGACACGCTGCAACGTTCGGGTAGTTCCCCGTAGCCCCATGTCCAGGCGCATAGCACATGCATGCTCCCTTTGTCTTGCCTCGCACCGGTATCCGGGTTGATAGGCAGTGGCATCGGGTTAGGGCTTCGCTACCCAGCAGCCCGACCAGTCGGAACCCAACATGGCCAGCTGGCACGGCGTGAACAAACAAGTCGATGACGACTGGGCTTCTCCACCTCCCCTTCCACTTTTCTCGGCTTCCAGACCGTCTGTCGGACCGCCTAAAAGTACCTTACCAACCACCACCACACCTTTTGACACAGCGCAGCATCAGAGTTTTCCCTTTGCAGTCTTCCCATCGCGTCACATCACTCGCCTGCGTCTATGGTTCCGGACGTGCGCGGTTTTCTCGTGCATCACTGGCACACCCTCCTCGACGCGGTTGAGAATCTTGGTCATGATCAACCAGGTTGCGCATTCAACCATTCACCATCCCTGGAAGATCAGGTTGCTCAACGATGCCTCTGATTCATTGAACTTCGACTCCGGCCACCCCCATCAGCCCATCTGTCGCATGAACAGTTGCGCCCACAGTGGCTCCCAAAGGGCAAGCAAGGGTTTGTGTATCCCCTGTTTGCGCTCAGCTAGCAAGCAGAGCCCGTGAGCAGTGTCAATCATACGACGTCCAACGGGAAAGCTCTTCAGTGACGACCATTGGCGCCTCGTTGCTTTTCCCTTCGTTTCTTGTTTGCTGTGTCTCTTCTGTTGCCTTGCTCTGCGTCGCTTTGCTTTCCTACCTTCGGCCTCTGCTCCTCTCAGTTCAGCTTGGATCGATCAGCTCGGACGGGGAAGAACCCCCCCAAATTCATTGTCATTGCCGTCCCGCTGCCTCCGGCTACACCGCCATGCTTGCTTGGCCTTGCCGCTCTTCTAAAGTGTTCCACGTGTCGACAGCGTCCCAAGCCGTTCTCCCTACGACGACCGAGTCTTGCAACGGCTACTGACGAGTCAGAACCAGACAAGTGTTGGACGGCACATGTGATCATGCAAGCCATGACAGGTAGTGTGTGTTTGAATGGCGACAACGGCCGAGGCCCTGAACAGAGAGACAAGGCCATTGTTCGTTCTAGCCAACATGCCTACGCCGACGCCAGCTCACGGAGTACTGGATGAAATGAATGTCGGAAAGAAGGAAGGAGGGGGTTCGGCCTCTTGACAGCGCACGCTGTGCAGGCGCCAATGCCACACCAACTCTCCATTCGAATCGACCGCTGTGCCTCTACCAAACGCCGTCGCAGCCTAGCTCTCACAAACCTCTGGCTGGCACTCCGCGACTCGCAGACTGGTCACCCTGTCATGGCACGCCACGCGGAATCTGTCAGGTACCAGGCACAAGCGTACTACGGGTCCTCCAATGACGTTCCCGAAGTCGCCTCTGGAAGCCGCTTATGCATCCCGAATTGGCAAAGGGCGAGACCCGGCAGACGAGAGTGTCCCCAAAACTTGCCCAAACGCAGCTAACAAGCCCTTCACGCGCCCCTCTTTCACCACACTTCTCCCTCTTTTTTCCTTCTTTTGCATAACGTCGCCTCCCACTCCACCATCTTGGTCGTTGGTCGTGCCGCCATCATTAAGCCATTCCAGGACACAGCCGCACCCCAGTGTCCCCGTGCTACTGTGCACTGACGGTGCCGTCCGTCGGAGCAGCGACCCTTTCCCCCT